TACAGAAAAATATTTAGCATCTCTAATAATTTTCATGATAGAGCTTTTAACATTATGAGCCAAAAGAGAAATTAACTCATTTTGAATTCTAGGGCCAAGATAATGATAATGAACTTCATGATTTTGAATGCGTCTAATATGATCTTGAATTATCACATCAAATTCTCCAATCATTTCAATTAACCCAAAAAAATTACCATTACTACGTTGATACAACTTCTCATTTGATCCTCTAAAAGGCAAAGAATACTTAGCAAGACACTTCACAACAGCAATTATTCTTACTAAAACTTGCCTCCAACGTACTTTCTCTTTTAAAATCTCTTGTTGCAAGTCTTTATCGATTGTTTGGTTTGTGTTCAGCCTTACTCTTAGCTCATTCCAAAATAACATGTTATTCATATGTTCAATAGTATTCTCATGTTCTTTAAGTCTCTCACCAAGATGCTTCCAATCTCTAAATCCCTCGTTAGCTATTGCATTTCTATAATTCTTAGACTTGAACAACTTACAACAAAAACAAAACACTTTATCCTCATATTTTGAATAAATTAACCATTTTCGATCACTAGTTTCACCATTACATAACTTTCTATCATAATAAGCATATGAAAAATGTCTAGACATGTTATCTAAAGGAAACACGATACCCAATTCTCTAATTGGTCCTTTTTCAACTAGGATGTCTCTTGATTTAGTATCAAGATTATCCCAATTTCTTGGATCACAAATATCAAAAAATGGAATTGATTGTTCATCAACGGATAAATTTTCAGTATTATTGGGGACCTCATGTTCACTCACACCATCAATCTTTTCATTATCTTCACTTATATTTGGATGTTCAACATCTTGTACATCTAAGGGCCTGTTTACTTGTGGCTTAATGAGCTTAGTGGATAAATGGGCTTATTCGCACAGACTTTCAAGGCTGTTTACTTTGAGCTTAATCGCTCAGAAATGGGCTTATTCGCCCAGATGAAAGATGGAACTTGTCCAGATTAAGCCGGCCAAAAGACTGCCCTACCCTTCTTCTCCATCGATCCTTGCCTGTGTTCACCACCAACCATMGATCTCCTCCGCCCACCACTGCCATCCAACGCTGTCGCCTCTTTCCCCACTTGTCTTTCTCATCGCCACTCACCTCCAGGTTTCATTCTCTCTCCTTTTTCAAAAGACCATTTAAAGACCATCGATCCTTGCCTGTGTTCACCACCAACCATCGATCTCCTCCGCCCACCACTACCATCCAACGCTGTCGCCCCTTTCCCCACTCGTCTTTCTCATCGCCACTCACCTCCAGGTTTCATTCTCTCTCCTTTTTCAAAAGACCATTAAAAGACCATCGATCCTTTCGGTGACGCAGGAGAGTTCAAACAGGTCACTGCTTTTGGAGATTGGGGTTTCGATTTTGGGTATTAGGATTTCGATTTTGGGGTTTTCACGTCATTGCTTTTGGAGATTGGGGTTTCGATTTTGGGTATTAGGATTTCGATTTTAAGTATTAGGATTTCGATTTTGGGGTTTTGTTCTTGGTGATGCATCGAAGTCGAGAGAGATGAGGGATGCAGGTTTTGTTCAGGAAGGAGATGCAGGTTTTGTTCAGGAAGGGGTAAATTGGTCATTTCTGTTATTCAGACTGTTGATTCAGATAGAAAAGTAAACGACAACATAAATTTATCCAGACAGACACATTTATCCAGACAGACAAATTTATCCATACAGGACTTAATAGAAAATTTGGTAAACAACCCCTAAGTCATCTAACTCTTGATTAGAAGAACCTACGGTCTTTACAAACTTATCCATGGCTCCTTTTTGTGATTGTTTCAATTGTTCATCTAACTTCCTTTTTTTCCTTTTCTCACTTCCAGATAAATATTTATACTTTTTAGGCAACATGATCAATATTTAACACTCACAACAATTCGACAAAGTCAATATAAAGATGAACAAAGGCACCTGATTGGCTGAATCTGAGTTTGAATATGGAATACTGAAGAATGAAGAAGTCAACTTCTTTTTTCAATAAATTGTAGTCTGCCATTTATAAAAGATTGAAACGCAATTAGTAAGCAAATAATTCAATCATGTATTATGTTATTATCATATTATGTATATAAATTACACCAAATTTGCATTTCCATTTACAATACAGGTTGTATGAATTCACTCTTCACATAGAGTTTCAAGATGTTAATAACATGGCTCTAAACAGTGAATCAATGAGACAATGATCTAAACAGTGAATCATTTACATGGTAGCAAAATCCAAAAGGGATTGTAAAATCTTTAATTTTACCCATTAGGCCATTACATATTGAACAACAAATAGAAATAATGATGAACTTGAATACTTGATAGAAATTGTACACATAAATAGAAAATATATACCTTTTTGTTGCTGCCCTAAACCCACCACTTGGATGATGATGAACTTGAACACGAAATCAGAACAGAACTGTGAGAATTGAGAAACATTGAATCCAAATTCATAACAAATTAACACTTAGTATTAACACATTATACATATAAGCTAGAATTTAACTAACCTTAAGTCGGCGACGCATAGGAATCATCATTCTGAAATCACCCGTTGAGCCCCTTGCCGTTGCCGAGTTACCGTTGGATTGTAGGAATCGAATAGGTGGAATCGCACGTAGATGAACCGTCGGCTGACTCGGCTCATCGTTCATTGGGTATCGCTCGCTTCTCGTCTCACTCTAGCTCTCGTCTCGCTCTCGCTCTCGCAGTCTCGCTCTCGTACAGACACAGTCGGCCGAATCTGGATTGGAGAATGATGGATAGGGCTATAGGCGATGGACTATCGGTTGGGTCTCTTTACTTTGTATTTTTTTTTTAAACTTGGGCCTCTTTATTTCATAAAATTTGGGCCATTTAATTATTTTATATTAATTTTTTTAAACCTAATAATATATATAATTTTTTTTGGGCCCCTAAATTTTTTGGGCCCTGGGCAGGTGCCCAGCCCGCCCTCCCCCAGGGACGGCCCTGAGTGAGGGTCAAGGGTTAATTAATCGTTTAATCAAGAAAATGAATAGCATGATTCTTTCACACAAATAGCACGAACTTTAAGGCGTGAAAAGCATCTTCCATCATCTATTATACAAAAACATATATACTTATAATATATATATATATATATATATATATATATACATACACACACGCGAAGAATGGTGTGAGAAAGAGAGTTAATATGAGAGACGTAAGAAGAGATCTGGACCCTTGATCACCTTTAATCTTAAACTCACCCATGAATCGTGCTTGATATGTGAATTGATCCGATACATCTCATCCTAATGTGTATCCAAGAGTGAAGATTCCGTATACTTCTCATCTTAACTCTCCTTATCATAGAAAGAAACTCAACCCTATATATATATATATATATGTATATATATATATATACATATATATATATGTATATATATATATACATATATATATATACATATATATACATATATATATATATATAAAAGATTCATTGACACAAGTTGCATGATTTGTTTTGCTCTTCAATCAAGAAAATGAAAAGCATGATTCTTTCACACAAATAGCATGATCTTCAATACAACCTCTTCATTTTTCAGTAAAAATCTTCTTGATTTTTTAAAGTTGATCAGTAGTCAATTGAAACAAAAACAAGAATGCCTATATGTATATTTTTTTATGTTCTGTTCTTTATATCTAACATGAAAAAACAGAGAGATTTGATTAATTTTTTATATGGATAGATGTCATTTTTCATTTAGGGTGGATGAATCTGTTATGTGCTTATAAAGTGATCATAAAAATAGTTGGTTTTGTTACATATAGAGTTTAGTTAAAATAAAAGAACCAAATATCATGAAAAAACAGTCAGAGAATCTTAATAAAAGGTGTATATGTAAATTTTTGAAAAAAATCATTTAAAGATTCATATGTGAATCCACATGAATAATCCGTAATATCGGTTTATATATGCATCTTCTAATATATTTTTCTCCATTTTTTCAATGATTTGTAAGTAAACTTTCCCTTATTTATTTGTAGCTTATCACAATACTTGGTATTTTTATTTGATCTTTATATACTAGGGACATAATTAAGACTAAGTTACATTCCTGGTCCCTGTTGTCTGTTGGTTTTCCCTACTATGGTTCCTCAAATGCATTATTACATTGCACGCCCCTATGACATGTAAAAAGGCATGCTCTGAGCACCTCCCTCTAACAGACTTTGTTAACCTAGTTATATCAAGGGGTATTTTGGTACTTTCCTCTTTTTTATTTATCTTTTTTTATTTGTATAATAAAATGATTTCGTCTTTTTATCCTTAATACCCTACCCACCCCTTTCCCTTTTACTCTCTCCTCTTCGTCCCCAACCTAACGAGTTGCATCCCACCCTAATACTGTCGGCCTCTATTAACTCCGACACACACATAACAACACAAGCCACCTTCTTACACACACAGGTCACCTTTTCATCGCACACGTTAACACAATTACATACATTAATTCATACAAAACATATATTGCATCTGCATCATTGTGATCGTTCTCCTAAAACACGATCATTCTCCATCTCCGAACAAACCAATGTCTCCATCTCTGTTATCCATGTGAACCGCATCCCTGGTGTTCCTTCCCCTCCCAACACGCCACCTATTCTACCCTAACCAGCTTCCTTCTACGGTGAACCCCCAGGACACCCTCTTCTCCCTCTTACTCCCTGATAACTCTTATTTTTAAGAGTTATTTCTTATTTATTTCCTTCCTTTTTGCTATTATTAAATACCCAATTTTCTTGTTTTTCATATTTTATTCCAAAAAGTTTTAAAAAGATGATGAAACACAAAAGAAGAAGTATTATTCCAAAAACCTGTATTTTTCTGACAGCACTGCCCACTGTGGCACCACTGTGGGATGTCTACGAGCCTTGTTGCTGCTTCTTGGGAAACGTGCAACTTGAAGATTCATCCAAATATTTTCTCCAGCTGTTTATGAGCTATCTTCCTTCTTCTATTTTATTTTTATTTGTATTTTCTTAGCCTTGTACTAAATACCCTTTAAGGTAATGATTGGGTGTACCTTACTCCCTTCCTCTCCCCTTTATAAAGAGGCTTGGGGAGTCATTTTGAAGACACACCAAGGGAACCAACATCACCAAGTAAGACACAAAAGGATTTCTCCCTTTTCTTTCTTTTATGCTTTTTAATTTATGTCTTTAATTTCTAGTCTAGTATTTTATTTCCTTGTACTTGTAATTTAGTTTTACATTAATGCAATTTATATTTCAGTATTATTTTATGTCTTTAATTATTTTTATTATGTCTAGCTAAATTACTCGTATGAGTGTGTGTGTGTGTGTGTGTGTGAGTTTAACTTAAGATGATTATATAATATTTGGGTGTTTTTATTTTTTATCACTTCGTAACTTGGTCACTTAAGACGGTACTTAAAAATGCGGATAAACTGATCACTTTGAAGTATTAATATTAGATCTTAGACCCAGATGATGGGCGGATCTGAAATACGGCTTAAGTGATGCACAAAGAACTCGAGAGGGTCTTTGAATAATTATGTGAAGACGCGAATTTTGTATACATTTAGCTAGGGGTTAAGCAATAGGTATTTTTATCACAAAGAGATTTGGATGAGAATCGCATTCCTTTTACTTTTTAGCTAGATCGGCAAGTCTCGAAGTGGTAAACGTAAAAACCTTATGGAATTTTATGAGGCCCGGTTATAAAAATTCACTTTCGAGAGATTGGAGCTTTTATAAACAACTTGTAAAAGTCTAACCATTTTATTGTTAATTTTCTCTTAAGCAACACTTGCACCCATGCCCATCATTTAATATTAGAAGTTTATTTCGTTATTTTGCTAGTCGGTCCTATTTTAGTCTTTTTATAAACAAAAATCCAACTTTATTTTACATCTCGAAACTCGTGCAAGAAGTTCATGAAAAATCTTTGAATCTCAGTAGTACCTTCTCTGTGGGAACGATCTCGGTACTTTGTACCACTTTATTACTTGCAAGCGATCATAGTGTCGGCGTGCACTTGCACCGCCATTGTGAGGACATACTGCCCACTGGGTGAACACAAACGATCCTAGCCTGTCATTCCCCATCTTCTTTCTCTACTATTACCCTCTTTGAAGCTCACTCGTCAAGTTAATTTATTTGTGTGTGTGTGAGAGAAAGGTTGCAGGTCATACTCTAAATTAAAAGAAAAAATAGCAAACATGCAGGCATAAGATTGTGTGTATGTGTGTGCTTTTTATATTTTACACGTGGAAGAAAGTAGAGAAGGAGCAAAAATGTGGTTAGGGACAGTGATTTGATCTCCATTAAAGATTGCAGATTCCTTTGAATGTGTGTGTGTGGTGAGAGGGATAAATAGTGAGTGAGGGAGTCCAACAGTGAGGAAGTTCGACAGTGGATGTTGCATTACTGGTGAAAAGGAGACGAAGGGTTTCATCGGCGGAAGGTGAAGGGGATGATGGTGAAGTGCTTACAATTTTTTTTAGCCGAAGAAGAAGAAATAGTGATGGGATTAGTTTAGGGGTGAAGGTCAAAGGACGGTGGGTTCAAGAAAAGAGAAAAATAAAAGGAGATTGAAAAATGGGGAAGGGAGAAAAAGGGTTGCAGGTGAGGGATGGGTCTCATCGGAGGGAGGGAGGGAGAGAGACGATGGTCAACATCAAAGGAGTTCGGCGGAGGCTTGACCGTAGTGAGGGGTGAGTGTTTCACAGAGATGATGGTAATCTCCGGGTATTGTGTTTGCATTATATATGATATATATAATTATAATATTTTTAAAAGTATATAAGATATTAGAATATGTTACAATTTTGGTCCCTATGATAAAAGACAGAAGAAAGATGCTAAAAGACGAAAATACCCTCTAACTTAATTGGGTTAACAGAAACTTTTTGATTTCATTAGAAGGAGGGACTTGGAGCATGCATTTTTGCATACCACAGATGTCGGGAGTATAATAAATGTGTTTTAGGGACCTTAGTCAAACAAACCACAAACCACAAGGACCAGGAATACAATTTACTCCATAATCAAAATTAAATTAAAAAGGCCCAGTAAAGTATTTGAAATAGTTTTCAAAATAAGTGTACACATTTATTATTTATATAAAATTAATAATATTATATGAATTTCGATTTTTGACAAGTCTCATGATCATCCAATAATAAGGGTTTTCATTTTTTTCCCATGAAAACATCTGTTCAAATTCTAAATTAGGCATTATCACTTAGGATAAAACATTTACATTTTTCTAAAATTATTTTTAAAAATTGAATAAAAGATTAAAATTTCTTAAAAACGATTATATTCAGTTTTTATAGGGTTTTGAGGATTTTAATATTAAATTAAATATTCTATAAATCATAATAACAATTCAATATTATTGATGAAGAGAGTAAAAAAATTATTTCTTTTTATCATGTAAAATCGGAGAATTATTTAAACTTGTTTTCTGTATTTTATAAAACAATATAAATAATTTATTGGAGGAAAATTCAGAACAAAATCTTCATCCTCTCTATTTTCAGAAAAATTATGGAAGATGGTATTAGATGTTTAAAGGAAGGATTTCTACCACAATAAAGCTCATAAGGGGTTCTCTCTGTATAGATGGCCAATGCAACTACGTCACACCAAAATT